ACAGATTCTGTTCATAACCTTTATGGACATAATTTTTAGGCGCAGCCAGAGCGTTGAGGGTGTCCGGTTTGGTGACCTCAGGATTAGGTCTCTGCTTTTTGCAGATGATGTGGTTCTGTTAGCCTCGTCAGACCGTGATGGATCCCCCACCTATCGCGGAAGTTGCATTCCAGACCCATCAGACTGTGGAAAACTGTGAATTTACGATATTTTCCTTGAGACTTGAAGAGTCCGTTAACTTAATGGGAAATGTGCCGGTAATTTTCTGCCAGTACATTTTCCGTTTTTTGACGGATTTTTTTTTACAGTGAATGCGCATAAGACCATGGAATTCAAAGTGTATTTTCTTGATGATGATACAGTATAAGTTGACCAAACCTTTAATAAGATCTTGTCTGTGAAGTATGGGAAAAGTAGGAATTTTCTGTTTTTAAATACATCCTCTACGTACTTCGTACATATGACTATAAATCATCCTTTTCCTATGCGGGATCGCTTAATTAGTCTGTTATCATCCTAAAAGCCACCTGATACCACACATTTTAAGCGCAGAAGATTTTACCATGTATCGGCAAATTGCGGACAGCTTGACAGCAGTTGACATTCCTGATGGAATCTTGTGATTTGCGCATAATTCAGCGTACATAATGTGGGACATTACCACACTTAAACTGCCATATAGGTGAAGATGAATATCAGTAAAATAGAAATATGATTGTCACTTTATATATTGTGCTTGTAACACTAATTATTTACGAATATAAAAAACGAAGTTTACACAGCACCACTACAGACGTGACGTCACACCTCTGACCACAACATACTCGTCTCCGCCAATCTCAATATGAAACCTACGCCTCTGGTTCCATGAGTCATAAGCCATAAACCAGAAAAGTTCACTTGCCTACATTCTGTATTTCCACTCGTGCTTCAAGGTCCTTCTGCTCTGTGTAAACCACACACTTGTACACTCCTGCATCTGTAATCCTCACATCCTCAAGCAGCAGAGAGAAGTTGCCTTTGGGGATCTCCTGAGAGAAGATGCGCGCTCTGCCCC